GCACCAAATAAACCAAAATGTGTCAACAGTAAAACCATAAACAATGTTCTATTTTAGAGGAGAGCTGGCGACTCTAAACCCCAATGACATCAAGCATTCATTGTATCGTATGACCTTCATTAGAACACGTCTGTCTAACATGGACCAACCCCGTGGAGACTCTCGACAGCAGAGGCTGCATTGCGTGGAACACGCCTCAAAAGCCTGCACCACGTTTCATCAAGTCATTTCCTCGTGTTTTCCGTACGACCCAAACCACCCCACCGGGGCCGCCGCCGGTACATCGTTATCGTTGTTGCGAAGGGTACCCTCTTCTCCCGCGAACGCGGGGTCTCCCCCGTATACACCACCCGGCACAGTGCTCTCCTGCACCATTGACATGCGGAAGGACGACTCCGAGTCTGATTCCTCCGTCACGCCCACCATTTCGTCCAACACGGACGAGGGGAAATCGTCGTCGTTTACTTCTTCCGTTTCTTGCAGCTGAAACGGTTCCTCCGCGCCTTCTTCCGCATCCGTTGCTTCTGCGTCCATGAGCGTGTCGTTGCCCTTGCCCTCCCCCATGCCCACTAGCTCCGATATTTGCTCGCTTTGAGCAACCAGGCACGCCAACAGAATTACGCCCGCTCCAACAAGGGCATTCGGCCCCATGGTCTCTTTCAAGAGCAGCGCCGATACCAGCGTGGCCCACAGAGGCTCCGTGCTAAATATAACGCTGGATGAGAAGCATTGGGATGTCGTCGCAGGGGTAACAGGAGGAGCATGTGGGGTCCGGTTGACTTGTTGTTAGATTGAACATTCGAAACAACGAAAAAACGCCACCAAGGCGGTCTTGTTCAACAATTTCTGACACGCTTTCTCGCAAAGATGGTGCGGAAGGCGCCCGTCCGTTAACTCGAGCGAAAACATGTCCTTCGGCCGTTTGATCAAAGTTTCCGGCTACAGTCAGGACAAAGCAAAACAGGGCTTCACCTCATTTCAGCCGCAGGTACTTTCTCCAGGCAAACAGTCTCCAGCCAAATAGCGAGCGAGGTGGTCACCAGCCCGGTGTAGCTCAAAGCAGCCAAAATTTGAGGATCTTTGACGAAGCTGAGCGGAAAACAAACACAGAAGGAGAAGCGATCATTGAGGCACAGCTTCATAGGTTGTGGGATATCTCTCTCTGGGTGTAGAGAAAGTAGCATGTTTGTAACGACTCGTTAGAAAATCACTTCAAGCGAGAGGTCTTCACTAACTTCCTGATATTTTCCTCTCGAGGGTGAGATAACTTTACGTACTACGTGTATCGCGGATGGCTCACCTGAAACCTGCAAGATGGCCGCCGGCTGAAAAGATACACCAGATTCCTGTCAGTGCGGCGACGGATATCAGCTGCTCGATGGACAGCTGTAAGCTCTTCCCCGGGAACTTTTCCATGTATTGCCGAACGGACACGCAAAAACAACACGATCGCGTGCAGAGCGTTAGGGCATGAGTTTGCTTGGAGTAGAGTCATGTGTCCGCGATAGGCCGGTCAGCTAAATACCGAAGGATGCAAAGAAGAAGATGATCAGGAATGCATACGGTGCTTCTATTCACGGAGTGAAGAACGACAACTCGTGTACCTCTATGAAACGTTGTACGCTACTCTGTAGGCCTCCACACGGGCAACGACAAACAGCGAGAGGGAGACAGCAGCGGTACATGGCGTCCACGAAAACAAAAAACGGCACCAACCTCAATCCGTGTGAAAGCCACGCCGAACCCGACGGCCTGAGCCACACACCACAGATCGTTCCAAGACGCGTGGGCGTCTCCCAACTCAAGAAACCCGGTGCCGACGAGGGCAAGAAAAGACGCCGCCACCGTCACGCGCTTGATGCCCTTGCCAGTGACAGCATCCAGCAATGGGACGACCACCTGCCGCACAACAGCCATACGGAATGGAGACCAGCACCATTGGCAAAGAGGGGAAGAATGATTTAACGTCGGGTTGGGGGAGAGGAAAAACACAGCTCACACCCCAGGTTCAACCGTTATACCGAGTACGCCCCACTCACGGCATGCATGCAGGGATACGAGTTCAACAATTACCGGATCCGCACAATTCTACATTATTGTCCCCAAGTGCATGGCAAGTTTTCTGTGGTACCATTTCTTTTATCTTGTGCTGCTGCCAGGCGCGTTGTCTCCGCTGGTGTCGGCGGCAGCACGGCAGTTATGCAGCATTCCCGCGGAGGGGATGTCTTTGTCTAATTCGTGGGTCCAGAAAGGGATCACGTCCTGTTGAACCTCTGCTCTCACCACCGACAAGCTGCAGAGACAGGCGCAGTAGACGGAGGCATCCGAGGTTTCCAAGCCGATGGCCTGAGTGAAGTACCCGAGAGCAACCCACACCCCTATTTCCATGCCTGGTTTTCGTGCGAGAGGAAAAGCGATAGCGGTGTCGAGAAAAGTGTGGCATAAACAAGACAACGCGTGAACTATGTGGCCAGAACCACCGCGTAGTACTGTAGCATGATGCGTGTGCGGCTGTAGCACTATACTACGGTCGGTCGGTAGTGCCATCTTATCTGGTACAGGCATGGACGGAACCGCGCGCGAGTGTGTCTCCATGAGTGAGTGCAACCGCCAAGAGTCAAGGTCTTGTAACTTACGGGCGGCAACGAGGTAGATGAGACAGAGCTTCCACGCAATGAACATCGCAGCAGAAATTGGAGCTACCAATGGTGCACCCCTCCCTCAATGAGTGCGTGGTCAAGGTGCCCACAGCATGCAAAAACCAGCGACTGACGCAAGTGTCATTGAGCTGTTTAAAGGTATGCACGTTAATTTACGCTTGTACCCTTTTCCTCCTTGAGCCTCTTTTTCGCGGTCGCGTCATTCTCTATAGTAGTGAAGTATGGATGTCCAAATCATCCCGTTGAGCATTGAACTCGTTCCACACCGAAACGTCTACCGAAAACGAAAAAAGAGCAAACTTCGTGAACTCGGCAAAACTATTAAGAAAAATACACACAAACACAGAAAGACTACCCGTTCGAGATATAACCACAACTATGCAGAGGTACGTATGCATATGCACAAGACTTCTGAAACCAATAATTACATCCCGGAGGCGGGGAGCGGTATGTTTTGGTTCCCCCGCGCCCTTCCCCAAGCATTTCGCGTGGAGAGATTTTCAACACCAGTCGTCATTCGTACTGCACCAAAGCGTAAATGTTACAAGTATACCAGTTCAATAGCAATAGTCATTTTGCATTTTGTCAGAAAACCGGGAAAATAAATGGCGGTCTCGACAATCGTTCGTCGTGGTCTAACCCTGTCGCTGGTTGGTGGCCATGTTTGCGTGTTTGCTTGTTCGTTAGTGGTCTCTCCACCGTGTGCCTTTTTCTGCCTCTTATTTCTTATTTCTTGATATTTTCGGCCTGGTCCCTTTTTGTCCTCGCTCTTTTTCATCTTATATTCTCCTTCCTTACTGTTTCCGTTATCTCTGTTTTCTCTCTTTTTTTTCTCTCTTTTTCTGTGCCAGATGGCCTTGTCTGTGCTTGCGTTGTGAAGTACCAAGATTGAACCAGGGGAGTGTACCTCTGTCTCTCCTGCCCGTGATAGTGACTCCTAGTCTCAGTTGATACCTCGCATAGCGCGCAGAGGGAGTGGAGGACTCCAAAATATCTGTCGTTGATTTCTATTGACTTGCGGACCCCTCGGGGCCAGTTTATTTGAGTGTACCTTTTTTGTGACCACGGGAATCGACCGCGTCGAGTGCTGGATCAGTACGGACATACGAAGGTACTGGGTAGAGCGAGATCGGAACGGTTTTAATGTGAAGAGAACAACAACAACAACAACAACAACAACAACGTATCTGGGATCTGGCCCGTTACCTGCGAATAAAACCTCTTTTCGGCGGAAGTCAGCGAAGGGTAAAGATGCCCCCGCCCGCAGCAATCGCGAACCGCACGAACGCCGCCGTAGCGTTGGGCACCTCGCCATGCTGCTCGACGAATTTGACCTATTTATTGATACGTGGGGCGGGCAGGGTGTCCGAGCAAGCATTTACTGACAAGAAGTTTCCGACACAGGAGAAGGTTGCACGAAAAACGGTTGTGTCTACAATTAGTTTGATATGCATAGGCATACGGCCCACACCTAACACACACAAGACAGCAGTAGTACAGGTCTGGTCGAGCCTATCGTCAAAAATATGGCAGGGTGTGAAGATATGCGTGTCCTATCGATGTGCCGTGCCTATAAGATGTACTCGCAAGTTCCACGTCTTCAACAGCTGTGGGGCAGATGATGCCGTATGGACATCTTTGAACCTACACAACGGGCACCACAGGCCTGGCGCGTTTTTTTTGCCACCTCTTGTAGTTCACCCGCACCAGCTCGCTCTCTCGCTCTAGGGTGCGATAAAAAATATATATATTCCAACCTCGGTGGCGGCTAACCTGCTGTATCCTTCCGCGCGTTTTCCCTTTCAACAATCTTCGCCGCAGGGCTACAAGTTCAACATGTTCTACCCTGACCTGATCGATCGCGGGGATACCCTCAAGTATTTCTTGGAGAAGGTGGATCACCCCGGCTTTGCCTTGCCATCCTCCGATTCCACGCCGGCCCTCCGTACGAAGACGTCGCTCTCAAGGTAATTTAGACTATCTACGGTAACTACCGTTCGTTGTGAGTCATCGCACGGTCCGGAGCCGTCGCACAGGGGTGCGATGCAAAGTAAATGTCTAAATGATTTGATTCGATTTCTGCACAGGGTCCG